AAGAAAAATGATTACGTGAATCATAGCTATATTAAATCTATGTCTAAACTTTAAGCCGAAAAATGCATTAGATTATAGAGACATGAGAGAAAAACATGGTGAAATATTAATTTTCTCATAAGTATGGCTATATACGACATAAATATTATTTTAGTTACGAACTCATATCAATAATTGGAACACGGGTTGGGTTGGGTTTTACGGGTTATATAATCCAAAATCCAAATCCAACCCAAAAGATATGGGTTGCAGAAAAGAAAACCCTCATTCAACCCAAAACCTTAATTTTAGATCGGGTTAGACGGGTGGGTCGGTCGCAGTGTGTTTTTTCACCCCTAATATTGATGGAGGGGGTCAAACAATGCAAAGAGTGATTAAACTAATAATCATCAAATTAAATCAAATCATCATCAAACCAAACAATACTATATACACGTTCTCCTTCAGGACCCACACAATTTCCGTTTTGCTGGCTTGTGCGCAGCTCGCGGAAGGACTCTTTAGTCCTTTCTCTTTTCACCTTATTTAATTTATTTAGTTTCTAATGTTCTACTATAATTCCTATCCCAATTTGTTTATTTTAATTGGTGTGCCGATGCTATAATTATTTTGATTTAATTATTAAATGGTCTATCATATTATATATCAAATTAATGCATATTGATTGTTATGAAAATTTTCTCAAGTATACATATTTGTCTTATATATACATTTGTCGTATATATACAGTTATACACGGGCACGTATATGATTGATGCTTTCTCTAGCAGTTCTATTACAAAAGATAATACTCATGGTTAAAAGAATATGAATAGGATGGGTAGTTAATTAAATTTTCAAGATTAAGATTGTTGGTTAATAAAGGAGAATATTATTTTTTATATTATTATACTGGTATGAGCAATGTAGCTAAAATCGTTTTTTAAAGTATAAAAATTTATACTATTCCGCTTTTAGATCACAAAACTGTTTAAACAGAATCTCAATTTTTAAAACTATTGTAGTTAAAAATGTGTTTTAAAGCTTCAAGTCTTACTATTTTATACTTGTAGATCACCAAAATGCTTCTACGTAAAAACGTGCTTTTGATGACATTACGTATGAGAATATAAATAGGATGGGTAGCTTATTAATTTTTGAAGATTAAGGATGGTTGATTAATAAAAGGTGCATATTTTAATATACTAATATAATCGTATGAGAATATGAATAGGATGGGTAGCTAATTAATTTTTCAAGATTAAGGATGGTTGATTAATCAAAGGTTCAAATTATTTTTAAAAAAATTATTAGCATTTATTTTTTGCAGTTAGATGCCTCAAAGACACATTAGAGTCGTCCAAAAACCAAATATTATTTCAATTGAATAATCAAAAGTTGAATGTCAGCACATATTTTTATTCTCATAATGCTAGACATCTTACAATTATATATATGTCCATGCCATGTGCGATTTAGTAAAAACAAGAGTTGTTTATATACCAGCGGAAGGTACTATTAATATTGATAAGTCTCTATTTGAAGCACAGGAACAAATTTATGATGGTATGGAAATCTATAAACGATCCATTGTTTATAATCTCTCCAACTATTTCATATGGCTTAATCTTACAAAACTATTACTTTTATTTAAATTTTTCAGAAATTAATTCACGTAAGTCAGCGTTGAAGGGAATAGACCAACCATTGAAAAAAAATAGCAAGAAGAAAACATGCTCTTTGTATAAGGCAAAAGCCTATACATAGGAAAATCGTCAAAATTTCTACGGGTAATCTATTGATTTCCTGTTTTTTTAATGAATAGATGGGTTTCATTTCATCAAAAAGAATGCGCTAATAACTACCATGTTAGCTAGGTAATTCTAATGGTAGAAGACAACATACAAATACTACGACAACCTCTAAGACAGACAATCAATCATCACCCCCATAATTGTTCAACCCTCTGCCTACCCAGAAAACATTCCGCTTCAGACTTGATCATCTTCAGTAGCACAGCAGGGGAGAGCGCTTTTCCAGCATACATACGTCTGCATCTTTCCCTCCATACGTGACTAACCCAGCTTTGTCATATGACTCTTCCCGCTTTAGCAGCTTTCGTTGCAGCACTAAACTTCAAAGTAATCCAGTTAGCTTAATCATCCCATTTCTGCATATGAGGAATATAAAGCACCCTGCCTAAAAGAGAAACATAAATCTGCCTGGAAACAGGACAATGAACAAAGATATGATCCCTGTCTTCCACCCCTGCATCACATAAACAACACCTCAAATCACCTGAGAACCCCCATTTCTGCATTTTCACCTTGGTATTAATACTATCCCTCATAACCAGCCACGTTAGAACCCGGTTTCTAGGTATGTCCTTGCCTTTCCAAACTATTTTCCACTAGCTGACAGTGCTCCTGTCAGCCTGACACAACCAATTCAATACGGCCTGCATAAGTGAGAGACTTGGCCTGCCAACTCCTCACCCTAGCCACAAGCTTGTCAATCAGAGGTCTACAAGCATTTAAACTCAGCTTACCCGAGATTAGGGGAACCCCTAAGTAACAAACAGGGAAAGCTCCCTGCTGATAATCGGTTTGTTGTTTCTTATATTAGATATTTGTTGTGGCGATTTCAAACTTCTATAAGTTATTCATCTAATTTTATTTATATCCTCATTAAATTAATCTTGCATAATGTTTCACTTATTTTGGAATCCTATAGTTTTTTTTTTCTAAACCATTTTCACTATTTATTCGTTATTCCTATTGTCACCGTAACTGAGTAGTTACTATATTATGATGCAATATCAAACGGTTATGCTTAACCATTTTTTTATGAAGGGGAATACTTAACCATATTCTCGCGGGCTATTTTTAAAACTGGTTTATCATTAATATTTTCATTACCATAATATTATTGTGCATTTATGGATAGTGGTTTTGTGAAATTGTGGGAATGTGAGGCGTGTGTTAGGTTTAGGTTTATTTTGTGATTTAGGTCAAGTGTACTATTATTTTTCTTTATACACTAGGCCAAGCGAACAGAATTATCACCAAAATTCCAATAATTTTCTTTTGGAAATATATAAATCAAAATATGGTCAAACCAAATTTTAAGAGTCAATATATAACGCTTCATAGTTCAACAGATTTTTTGACTTTATTATTATATTTTATTTGATTGTTTCTAAGTCATATAATTAATTTACTATGTTATCTGTGGCTATCAAGTATTTGTTCAAATATATCAACAAACCTGCAGACTGAACAATGTCGACTTTGACATCTAAACCAGGTGGTAATGAAAAACAATACCAAAACCAAGAAATATCTTTAGCAACTTGCGTTTGCATTAATGAGATTAAAGCATTTTTAGATCGTCATTACGTCACATCAGGTGAGACATGTTGGAGACTTTATATTAGCTTTAATTACATTATGTGTTGCGTATAAGCATATTTTTTGGGAGAATGACGAAGAATTAACCGTCTTAGTTGATAAAGGTCAACAAATGATCTAGAATGACCTCTATCAATGTCTAAAAAACCGTAATTAAGGACCTAGGCTAGCATGTAATGAAGGATCTTGGGGAATTTGTTAGTTTATAATCGAGTATGGTTGACCAAAGATAAAATAAAATTTGGTGAAATATTATGTACTTTGATTATCTTGAACTAAACATGAAGAATGTTTAACTAAGATTTAGACCCGGTATAAAGATTTATTAACAAAAGAGAGAATTTTTCTTTCTTGAGAAACTCGAACTAACAACCTCGGCAAAAACTAATTAGTGGGTAAAGGCCTATGGCTATGATAAATACATATCTCACATACTAATTGTTACTGCTACTATTGTTTACAAACTGACGAAAACAAGTTTTATACAATTTTCCTTTCTTGAGAAACTCGAACTAACAACCTCGGCAAAAACTAATTAGTGGGTAAAGGCCTATGGCTATCATAAAAACATATCTCGCATACTAATTGCGACCGTTGTTTACAGAGTTGACGAAATGCATCCGGTCAACTGCCCGGGCCCGTTACTAGTGCTTTATACTTGTCATCCTTCCACAAACACCATATTGATCATCTCTGTATAGTACTATAGTTAAAATTTGGATTAATATTTTTCGTATGGCCTGAACTTTGATCAAAATAAACATCCTGACCAATCTTTTCGATCTATAACATCCTGGCCCGAACTATACACCAAAATAAACAATTTGGCCAAATCCGATGTTTGACCGTTAACTTGGACGGTCAAACGCGCTGACTAACAGTCAATGCACCATGTCACTGCCACGTCACTGCCAAGTTAGAAGATCTGATAAATATTTATTTTTTTTGTTTTTTATTTTTGGTTTAACTAAGGTATTATATGATTTTTTTAATTTCGTTGACTAACAGTCAACGCGTTTGACCGTCCAAGTTAACGGTCAAAAGTCGGATCTGGCCAAATTGTTTATTTTGGTGTATAGTTCGGGCTAGGATGTTATAGATCGAAAAGATTGGTCAGGATGTTTATTTTGGTCAAAGTTCAGACCATTTGAAAATATTAACCCTTAAAATTTTATTGAATACGGAAAAGAATAACAATTAACAATCCATTATATTAGACGGTCGTCTATTCTATCAAATTTCGAAATTTCACGAACCTTAGTCCTTAAACTCGGGGAAAGAAAACAACAGGGAGACTAGAGACTAGAGAGTAGTGAGTCCCGCGAGATAAAAAAATGGCGGAGGGAGGGAACTTGAAAAAGAATTCAGCACTTCACTCGCTCACTTACCAGCCGCTGGATCAGGCCACACCACACGGATCGCCCTTTCATCCAACGGCTAATAAACGACTTAAACCATCACGTGGGGCGACGAATGAAATTTTCGGGTGGGCCGCCACCACCCGCCGAAACGAAACGCGCGAGCAAAGCAAAGCAAACAATTTGACACGAACCCGAAAATTTCCCACCGGACAACAGCCCCCGCCCGAAATATTTCGTTTAGAATTTCGAACACTCCGGCGGCAAAGCTCGCCACCGCCCTCCACCGCCGTGAAATCTAATTATTTTATTTTCTTTATTCCTCCCTCCAACAGTTTTGAGCTAAAATCTCAAAGCGCCAAAAAACCCCCAAAACCTCTCCCCCTCTCATTTTGAAAACACGAACATGGCGCTCGTTCCTTTTCCCTCCCTCTTCTTCTTCTCCAAGCATTACAAAATCTGATCTCATTCCTCCACTTCTCCACCTCACACCACACTAGTCCTCCCTTTCACTTCGCTCTCCCTCCCGTTCTTCCTCTTCCAACTCTGTTCCGGACGGCGAGAGGCAGAAGGATCTTGTTCCAATGGCGGATCAGGAGAACTGCGCTCCACTCACTCGAGCTGCCAGGAAGAGGGCAGCAGCGGCGGTGACGACGCCGGCGGATGCGGAGCAGGGACTTCCTATCCAGCAGGAGAAGAAGAGGAGCAGGGTCGTGTTAGGCGAGCTTCCTCAGGTGGCTAACGTTGGGGCGACGGTGGTGGATCTGACTTCCGGTGACAGGCCGGAGAAGCGCAAAAAAACCAATGCGAAGGCGAAGGGGAAGGCTAAGCCGAAGACTAAGGCCAAGAAGGTTGTCGCTCCCGTTCCGGACGAAAAAGAAGTTCCGGCGGCGACGGTCGAGGTCGGGATCGACGACAGAGATGGAACCCCCGATGATCCTCAGATGTGCCAGCATTATGCCTCCGACATTTACGATTACCTCCACAAGTTAGAGGTGAATTGAGATTTTTCGATTGGATATTTGCTTTTTTCAGTCTGGGAAGTTTGGTGGAATTAGGGATTAGGGTTTTCGTTCGGATGTTAATTTGGGGGGTTTTGATCTTCAGGCTGAACCAAAGAGAAGGCCACTGCCTGATTACATTGAGAAGGTCCAATCTGAAGTGACTCCCAACATGAGAGGGATTCTTGTGGATTGGCTTGTGGAGGTAGCAGAAGAGTACAAGCTTCTGACTGATACTCTCTACCTCTCCATTGCTTACATTGATAGATTCTTGTCTCTGAACCCTATCAGCAAGCAGCGCCTTCAGCTACTGGGTGTTTCTGCGATGATGATTGCCTCGTAAGAAATCCTATTTCCCATTGATTTATCTAATTTGCTTCTGGATTTGCTCCTCGTATGACCCTTTTGCTTACTAATCTTTATTGTTGTGATGTTCATAGAAAGTATGAAGAAATCACCCCTCCAAATGTGGAGGAGTTCTGCTACATCACCGATAATACATACACCAAAGTCGAGGTAGCTAATCATTCTGGACTCATCTCTGCAATGCATTACCTGCTCTGTTTGGTTGTGGATCTGGGCTGATTTCAAGTTTGCTTTTTGATTAATTGGATGTTGGTTTTGGCTGTTTCTGAAGGTGTTGAAGATGGAAGCAGATATACTTAAGTTCTTGAACTTTGATATGGGTACCCCCACAATAAAGTCATTTCTAAGGCGGTTCAATAGAGTTGCTCAGGAGGATTACAAAGTAAGTATATGATGCATCATCTCCTGTAGTATAAATTTAGATTGTTGATGTGAATCTCTTGCTGAATCATATATCTGGACTTGTTTACAGACTGAGAGCCTACAGCTTGAGTTCATGGGCTGTTATCTTGCTGAGCTGAGCTTATTGGATTACAACTGTGTGAAATTCTTGCCGTCTCTAGTTGCTGCATCTGTTGTGTTCCTTTCAAGATTCACACTCAAGCCAAAAACGAATCCTTGGGTAAGCAATCCCATTAAGATCACCTAGATAATCTGAATTCGGAGACTCTACTGAGGTGCCTAACTGAGTTGTGGTTTTGTTCTTAACAGAACGCCAAGTTACAAAAGTACTCTGGATACAAGCCATCAGAGTTGAAGGAATGTGTGCTAATCATACACGATCTTTACTTGAGTAGAAGAGGGGGTGGCTTGCAATCTGTTCGTGACAAGTATAAGCAGCACAAGGTATAGACTTTTTGCCAAAGGTCTTCTGATTAGGCTGTGCCATTAGCTAGTTTGCTTACTGTTCTAACCGATCCTGACCTTTTTCCTCTTATCTTGTAACAGTTCAAATGTGTAGCTGTAGCACCATCACCTCCAGAGATACCTTCTCCATATTTTGCAGATGTTGTTATAGAGGTTTCCGAGTCTTGAGGGCAGTCCATGTGGGAAGGGCTACTGAGTTTTGCTTGAAGTTGCAGCTAACTCTGCTGTTTAGCAATTAAGCATAGTTCACTGCTAGTTAGAAAATTTGATAGAGAAGCTCTGTAAATATGGTCGTGGACAAAGTTTTGCTCATTGTAATTGGTTTGTGGTAATGAAGTATTGTTTTGGGACACTATTCTCTATGGCAGAGATGATGATTATTGGCGATGTTTCCTTGTAGCTTTGTGAGCAAATGATGCATTGAGAAGTCAAAGTCATACGAATACATTGAGAAGCCAAATAAGTAAGATGTTGATTAAGACGAATGGTTGCTGTAGTTTAGTGGTTAGAATTCCAGGTAGTGTCCATGGAGACCTGGGCTTGAATCCTAGCAACTTGCAGCAACATTGGTCTTTTAAATTCTTTGTATCGTACGCATATTTTGCCTAATCCGGGGTGGTTGGGCTGGCCACTTTCTTTGTTTGTGGGAGCCCAACTGTTCATCAAATTCAAACCGATCCCCAACCGAAATATATGTCGGTTCGGTCTGGTTTCTGCCCTAACCCGAAATCTTTTCCATTCCCCTTAATTATGGATCTGTCAACCCATTTCTCCCTCTCCATCTCTCTCTCTTCCGTTCATTTTCCCCTCTCCGTATCTCTCACCTTTCTTCCACTTACCCTGAACGATAAAATCAACACCAAAAAGGTAAAAATCGATAGAAGAGCGTGCTCAGGGAAGGAAAGGAAGCGGTTGTAGGCATGGCGGCGGCCGGCGGGGAAGAATGACGAGTGAAGACGAAGAGAGGACAGACCAACAGGGAAAAGCATGTCGCCGTCGGTGCCGCCCTCTCTGCTGCAGGATCATCCGCCGTATATACTCTTCTTCTCCTTATCCCGTTCTTTCTCCTTCAGAGTTCGGATATGGAAGAAGTAATGGCGTCATGCTTCGGATCCTCTTCTCCATCTAGCGGCAACGACGACGGCGACAGTGAGAGATGATAAAATGAGACATGATGGCTGGTTGGTAGCATGCATCGCATGCATGTTGTTGTCGGCAGCGAGATTGAACAGGAGGAAAGCTCCCTCTGCCGCCAAGAATCCCTCCCGAGATCTGTGTTCGCCGCCATCGAAGGAGCTTAAGGACTTGTGTTGGTTTGGAAATAAGGAGGAGGTTGAGGGTTAGCGGCTCTGTTAGGGTTGTGGGGGAGTAGGCTTGGGCCTTGGGTTTTGAGTACGTGGGCTGAGATGAGATTGGGCTGGGAGTGGGCTTGAATGCTAGGTTGATCAGTATGTTCGGTTTTTCGGTCGGATAATCAGAATTTCAAGTTCGGGTGAGCTACCTTGGTTTCCGAAATGTAAGAGGTTGCCTTCCGAATTCCGAACCGAATTCATATTATTCGGTTTCGGGTTTACCAAACAAGATGCCCACCCCTACACGGAGTAGTGGTCGAGTCGGCCTAAGCGGTATTCGGGTCATTTGGGTATTATTAGGGGATAGAACTATTTAAACTACAGTCTTTGTTATTTCGATTAATCAAGCATAATATCAGAATAACTAAACCCTAATTCTTCTTCTCTTCTTCAATTCTCACCTCAATTCCCAATTCTCAACCCTAATTCTTCTATTATCATCCCTAATTTCTATTCTATTATCCGTGTTTCTCACAATTGGTATAAGCGCCTCATCGCATTAGTTCTACAGGACTCTCGGATGGGGACCAGGGGGCGCCGATCGAGACTCACTTGCTGGAGGTCATCGCCCGGCTTTGGCGGGTGGCCGCGAACCTGCAGCAAGGGAGAGGCACGACGGAGGGTCTGGCTGCGAACTCGGATGCTCTAGCGGCAACAGCAACAGTGCCGCGACAAGAGGAGCAGGCCGCGACGGGAAGGGAGGCGCGCAACGCGGCGGTCGAGGAGAGGTGGCAGCGACCGGCCGGCGATTAAGTGCGCTGGTCGCGGGCTCGGCGTCCTTGACGTCGACAACAGGGTAGCTAGAGAAGGAAGGAGGCGGCGCGGGGCCGGAGACCATCTCCGCCATTGCTGCCGTCGCGGCAGCTGGGTCAGCAACGATGCGCTTCAAGGCGCAGATCGGAGGGGAGTGGGGCGTGGCCCTCGTTGATAGCGCGGCCTCCCTCAACTTAGTAGGAGAAGAGTCCATGCACCGACTGCACACGCCCCAGGTGGCCATAGCTCCTTTCGATGTGAAGGTCGCCAATGGCGCGCCACTGCAGTGCGTAGGGAAGCTGGCAGGAGTGTCCGTGAAGATCCAAGGGTTACAGGTTCCTCTCGACTTGTATGTGCTATCGTTATAGGGATTCGACATGATCTTGGGCATGCCATGGCTCAAGAGCTTGGGCCCGGTGACTAGTGACTCGGTGAAGATGGTTATGCGAGTCAAGTGGAGGGACAATGATTGGGAGCTGTAAGGCATGACCACGACAACTAGGCCGGTCGAGTGGGGCGACCCGCAACTGGAGGCTGACGTAGAGCTCGCAGTGCTTGCTGGCCATTGGGATCTCCCGGGCAGCAGACGCTAGCCCCGGACTTGCAGGCACTGCTAGACAGATATGCAGAGCTCTTTGGAAATCCGAACCAGCTACCCCCACAGCGCCAGGTTGACCATCGAATTCGACCGAAGGAGGGCACAGACGCGGTTAACCTCCGAACCTACAGGTATGCTCACAACCAGAAGGCCGAGATAGAGAGGCAGGTAAAGGAAATGATGACCGCGAGACTAATTCGGGCGAGCTCCAGCCCGTTCTCATAGAATAAACCGCATGAATGAATTTAAACTTGTCCGCTTCTTTCCTCCCTAAAGCCGACTTCATGCGAGATGACAATACTTCCTCACCCCATTTGCGAACAATCTGCTCAGCAGTAAACTCAAATTCTCGATAAACGCTGTCTACTTCATTTTGATGATTAACGCTAAAATAAACATCTGCAAGTGGAACAGAGATATACCGTATGCCCTCACTTATCCCTCTCTCATCAACATCCGCTTCAATGTAAAAACTGCTCGACTGAAAGGAGAGGAATGAAGTTGCTCGACTAGCCGGTGCTGTTGGTGAAGAAGGACGGTACCTGGAGGTTCTGTACAGACTATCGGGCCCTAAACACCGCTATTGTGCGTGATTGTTTCCCCATTCCCACAGCGGACGACATGCTAGACAAGCTAAGAAGAGCCCAGTACTTCACCCAGCTCGATCTGAGGGCCGGGTATCATCAGATACGCATGCACGAGGAGGACATTCCTAAGACGATCTTTCGGATGCATAGTGGCCATTACGAGTACCTCGTGATGCCCTTCGGACTCTGTAATGCACCATCGACGTTTCAGGTCGCCATGAACGATATTTTTTGCCCTTTGCTTCGCAAGTCAGTCCTAGTGTTTTTTGATGATATTCTGGTCTTCAGTAAGTGGTGGGAAGAGCATATGCAACATTTGCAGGAGGTGTTTGAGATACTGCAGGGAAACCAGTTTTATGTGAAGGCATCTAAGTGTGCCTTCGGGGTCCAGTCAATGGACTATCTGGGACATGTGATATCGGGCGATGGAGTCAGGGTGGATCCGATGAAGATTTAGTCTATGATGGACTGGCCAGTGCTGAAGTCGGTGACGAAACTGCGGGGTTTTCTCGATCTCACTGGCTACTATCGGCGGTTCGTGCAGGAGTACACTTTGATAGCGGGATCATTAAATTCCCTGTTAAAGAAAGGGGATTCAGCTGGAATCCCGAGGCAGAGAGGGCTTTCGGCAAGCTCAAGACTGCTCTATCTACGACTTTGGTCTTGGCCTTGCTAGATTATCTCAGCCATTCGACATCGAGACCGACGCATCGGGCAGGGGAATCGGTGCGGTTCTATCACATGACAGATACCCCATCGCCTTTATGAGCCGTACCCTTCCTCCATCCAAGGAGGCTTGGTCCACGTACCAGAAAGAGATGCATGCTATCACGGAAGCAGTCCAGATGTGGCGACCTTACTTGATCGGTCAGAAAATCCGCATCTACACCGATCATCAGAGTCTCTAGCATCTGATGGATCAGAGGGTGTCAACTCCAGACCAGCACAAGTGGGTGGTGAAACTGATGGGGTATGACTACGAGCTACACTACAGACCCACACTAATGAACAAGGCCGCAAATGCCTTATCGAGAGTGGAGTGGAAGCCGTAGGTGGCGGCGGTGACCGGGCCAGTGGTGCTGTTCTGGGAGGAGGTCAGGAGGGCAGTGGAGACGAGCCCGCACCTGCAGGAATGCCAGGATATAGCTCTCAGTATGACACCCGACAACTATACATTCTGACACGGACTGGTATTCCACCGCGGTCGAGTAGTTCTACCACCAGCCACCTCCCTGACGACAACGGTGATGAAGGAATTTCACGATTCCCCGGTGGGAGGCCATTCCAGGTATGAGAGGACTTTGAGGAAGATCCACAATCATTTCTATTGGCCACATATGAGAGGACTTTGAGGAAGATCCACAATCATTTCTATTGGCCACATATGACCCGCGAGGTAAAGGACTACGTCGCATCCTGCGACACGTGCCAGCGGGTCAAGACCTCTCAGTTGTGACCAGCAGGCCTGCTGCATTCGTTGCTGGCGCCCGAACGGGTCTGGGAGGACATCAGCAAGGACTTCATAGTGGGGCTACCACCATCCGGTGGAAAGATAGTTTTACTAGTTGTGGTGGACCGGCTCACTAAATACGCACATTTCCTGGTCCTGTCCCATTCTTACACCGCCAGGAGTGTCGCTGAGGAGTTCGTTTGGGGGGTCATTCGACACCATGGGTTTCCTCGGTCGATAGTGAGATCAGGATGCTCTATTCCTGGGGAGATTCTGGAAGGAAGTGTTCGCCATGGCGAAAACGGAACTGAAGATGAGCTCGGCCTACCATCCATAGATAGATGGACAAACAGAGGTGGTGAATAAAATACTGGAGCAGTACTTGAGACTTCCGTGTTCAAGAGAGCTTACCAGAAGCTCGCTACCCGGTATTTCGGGCCATACCAGGTGCTGGAGAGGATCGGGGTCGTGCCGTATTTACTGCAACTACCGGACGCGGCCCAGATTCACCCTACATTTCATGTTTCACTCTTACGCAGGTACCGAGGAGTAGTGCCTCAGGCGATGCCACCGGAGCCGCCGGTGAACGAGAATGGCGTGTTGGAGCTGGAGCTCGAGACGGTGCTGGATGTGCGCTGGCCTCTACGAGGAAAGTGACGAGTAGAAGAGAGCCTAATTCTGTGGAAGCATTTGGGGCCGGATGAAGCAACTTGGGAGGACACGGAGACTATCAGGCAGACCTATCCTACGTTCGACCTTGAGGACAAGCTCGGTCTCGAAGAGGGAGGGAGTGTGAGAGACACGGAGTAGAGGCCGAGTCGCCCTAGGGGGAGGGTATTCGGGTCATTTGGGTATTATTAGGGGGAGATAACTATTTAAGCTACAGTCTTTGTTATTTCGATTAATCAAGCATAATATTAGAATTTCTAAACCCTAATTCCTCTTCTCTTCTTCAATTCCCACCTCAATTCCCAATTCTCAACCCTAATTCTTCTATTCTCATCCTTAATTTCTGATCTATTATCCGTGTTTCTCACACTTCTTCTGTAATAGGCTAACAACCCAGTCCAACTTTGACGTGTCCTGGCATTCTCCGATTGAGGTAGTGTGCACCAGAGTCTTATATGCCTCAGAATTGAGATATGAGGTCAACCTGGCTTAGAGTCCATCAAAGTGGCACATTGCCACATTGGTAACATTCTTGGTTAAAATATATATATGGATCTTACCCAATAATTAGAGTTATGAGACAGTTGGTTCATAACAATATACTAGAACTAGTTAGATTATGATGTCATGTGTTAAAGATTTTACGACCACCAATATTAAGAATTCACTTAAAGCACATGATATGATGAGTCTGTGCAAACTCGCAAGCTCATAAGTTGACTTTCGTTTGAAGGAGCTCGTACATAAGTGATAAAAATTCATACGTGTGGCTCTCCAATAACTCGAGTTATTGTTATAAGTTGGTTTATGACACCTTGTAAACCACTTGGCTGCTACGTCAATGCTATACATCTTTGGATTAAGCATTCACGCGATTTCATGCATTGTTATAATGTATATGCTCACGCCAATGACATTAATACACAACGAATGACATATCTCAAACACTAGATCGAATAACATCTTAATACGTAAATGCCGAGTTCCATGTATCAAAATTTGTCAATGAACATCCCACAAGAAAAAGGACGTTCGACACGCTTTTTCAAAGTTATAGCTTGCAGTGGCGGAGGCAGGCCCTTTGGGCCTTGTCCAGGACATGGGGTAAATTTCGGTGGAACAAAAATACGCTATATATATTTATATTGATGATGGAACAGAACACCTATATGTAGTATTATAGTACTTTGTCACTACAACACAACTCATTACTTGTCCAAAATTGACATAAAATTAATTTATTATACTATAAACGAAATTCCAATTGCAATAAAGACCTAATAGGGTCTCTTTTCTCCTTATGCCTATTCGATCTTTTTCCCAACAACCCTGAAATTGTCTAGCGACAACGACAATCCCACTAGTTTTGATCTACCAATTACAACTGCAAGTGTAAAAAGAGCATTTTCAGCTTTGAGTTATATTAAGAACAAGTTTCCAAGTCGATTTGGCGACCAATTTGCTAATACTTATTTAGTAAGATACATTGAAAGAGACTTATATAATAGTGTAGACAACGGATATTTTTGCGTTTCTTTCACTATATGAAATTCCTTCGTAATTGTTTCTGAAAAGTATGATTGTATTATTTTTAATTTATGAATGAATTATTCGGATATATTTTTTTATTAAATAATTTTTTTAGATACTTATATATTTAAGTTATGAAAAAAAGGATATGGGTGGTTTGAAATGCTGCCTCCGCCACTGATAGCTTGCCACGAGCTAGGGATGGCAATGGGTCGGGTTTTGCCAAACCCAAACCCAAACCTAAACCCATGGGTTTATCCGTGAAAAAAACCCGGGGTAAAACCCACTGGGTTTGAAAAACTCAAACCCAACCCAACCCGCTGGGTATCCGCGGGTTCATGGGTACTCACGGGTTTTTGTCGTAAAAAATTACAATAAAAAGTTCCCATCAAAATTAAAACCAAATATCAATCTCTCAATACAAATTATTCATATATAAAACACCATTCTAGATATTCAAGCAAATCACAAATTAACTATACAAATTGTTCAACACCAATCTAGAAAACTCAAGAAAATTGAAGCAAATCATAAATTATCCATAAATAACATGATTAATTGAAAACTTCTTCCTTACAATTAAGTTTCTTCACTCTCCACTCGATAACATCGACTTCGTTCTACACAATTAGAAAGAAAAATTAGACATGTCTCCACAAACATAAATAAGATTAGTTGTTTAGAATATTAAATATACCGAGAAAATTAATTATATGGGTGTGAGCGGGTACCCATGGGTCGGGTTTACCTAAACTCAAACCCAACCCGATAAATAGTGAACGGGTTTAAACCCAAACTCGACCCAAAACCCGTCAACACGGATTTTACCCGTGTTGACCGGGTTAGGTCGAATTAGTACCTGTGGGTTCAGGTTTTGTTACAATCCCTACCTGGAGCTTGAGAGGTGCAGGAATGAAAGGGTACTTCAAAGTTCAAAGGACCCAACAGTTAACCTCTTTACCTCCCATCCACAAAAGAGGGAACTTTTGAGTTTCCCACCTTTTTTGTTTTTGGCTGCATGTATGTCGGATGGATTCATATTTTCCATACACAAAGGGAAAATCTGGTGTTGATTTGACCACTCAAGCAAGCATCTACTTTGAGCCCAGGCAATATGAGAGAATTGGATTTTGAGTTCAAGAGCTGCTGCAGCCTGCAGGTAAAGCCCAAATCGGTGACCTTTTCCAATGGGCAAATAAAGACTACAGGCCGAGCGAATCGAATCTACGTACGAAATGGGGGAAAAGCCCACAGTGGGAGGGGGTAAAAAGGAGAAAAGAATAGAATCGTAAGAGAGAGAGAGAGAGGAATGAAAACTGAGGGGGGAAAGGAAACCCTTTTGCTCTTTGGTGATTGATTTCACAGTTTTTTAGGTACAGAAGCAGAAAAAGAGGGCAGAGAGGGATAAGGGTCTGGCCCTAGCTAGTTGGAGTAAGCTAGGAAGAGTGAAAAAGGAGTAGAGGACCCGACTACTTCACAAAGCCAGACAATACAAATACAACAAGGCATGCCAAGACAAAACTAATTATCACCATTTAAGAGCATGTTTATCGTAATATTATATTCTCAAATTTTGGAATAGTGATTAGTTATGGAATAATACGAGATGGATCGAAGAGAAGGGTTTTGTTAAAACTTACAGATTCGGTTGGCTGAGTCATTTCGTAAGGTTGCACATAGGATGAAATCGGTTTCAAAAAAGTGGACATCGACATGAGATTGGGATTCAAAAGAGACAATTTCAACATATAGAGAAGCACACAATGACCACGGGGCGAAGCTCAAATAGAAATAAAAACAAAGAATGTAATAATTGAACAACGAGAAAACAGATATCGAGCCAAATTACAGAGCATTCTGAAAGACTCTTGGCAACCTCTTTCATCGGAGTGACATCAAACACAACTTCAGCTCGTCCAATACAGGCTTGACCATGGAAAATGACCAAAGCACACCATAAGGCCCCGCCTCCTGATAGTTGTTCGAAGACAGCTCGTCTGAAACCAAGTAAGGGAACCAGAAGCGGAACCGTTACACACTCATCATAAGTTTACTCAGTAATAAATTGAAAAATGATAGGTAAGAAATGAAGTATTTCTTTTTCGGCTTGTTACTTAGATTCAATAGTTGTTATGAGATAGACGACTTGTGAAAATTTGCTCCATTGATCAAACCTTCTTTTTTTGAAGTCTTAACTCTATTATCATATCAACCCTTAACGGCTTTCAGTGTAATTTTTAGACCTATTGTTAACACCATTCTAATAGCTAACAATATAAAATCAAATTACCTGCTAACCCCATTTTTTAAAACTTGTTTTCAGTGGATAGACCTCCACTTTGGTGACACGATGATGATGATTAGTACACTCCACTAATATAAATAGTTAAACTAAACACAAACAGAAAGAGGACATGGGAGGAAAGAAAGAAAGAAAGCAAGCAAGCAAGCATGGTGAAATTTGGCCGTGGAGTGACTGACTGACTGTCCTCTTTTAGGCAGACTGCCTCTCCCCCTGAGCCTGACTGAATTATGCGATAATAAAGCTAACATCGAGCAAACCCATGCCCGCCAAAAAGTCCTCGTGAATTGCAACAATGGCGTTAAAAAGAAAAAAGAACAGAAACTGTGGCAAAGAAGGAGAAAATGAGGGTAGGGTGGTGGGAAGAAAAAAAAGGTTCCATCGTGAGTAGTGTCCCTTGTTTGCAGGGTTTCAATTCATTCAATTCAATCACTTTCACCTATTCATTCCTCCTCCTTTTAATTTATCTCAATTCCTCCACAAAGCCATGTAGCTTTTCTTCATTTCCTGCCGTGCAGAGATAAAAAGAACGGAAGGAAAGCGGAGGAAGAAAGAAATTGCCTTTTTGTTTTGTTCCTTTCTACCACACCACCTTCTGCTTGTCTTCTTCTTCTTCCCTCCTCTGCCCCTTTTGATCGCTCTCCTGTCCATTACCGCCTTCTTAATTTACTTCTCTTCCCACCCTCTGTTTTCTCTGTCTCCAATTGAAAATGCAGGGGAGTGCATTGCTGAAGCCGGTGACGGTTTTGGTCTTCTTACTTCTACTCTGCGCCCTTTCAGCAGCCGACAACACAGATACTGTCATTGCTGGTAATCAAACACAGAAGGCGCCGCCGACGAAAACAGAGGAAGAGCCTCACCGCCGGCAGCAGCGGTTCCCGTTCGATACGTTCATCTCCAGCGAGAGAAGAGTGCCGAACGCATCCGACCCACTTCACAACCGCTGATTTCCTACGTGCCCAAGATTGCCGGAATGTGGAAAGGAGGGAAAAAGGGCCGGTTGGAGGTTTTTGGTCGGTCGGAAGTCGGTACCGTCGGTTGCGGCTTTGCAGTGTTTGGTTGCCCTGCTTTTTGTTTGTTTGTCAACGGTGATGACGTGGAGGTTTGAAATAATTTCACCTTCGATCGGGTACCTCCCAGCCGTTGATTTTCTGCTTTTGTGGCCGACCTTTCTCGTTTGGCCGGAGGATCTCCTTACTCTCTTTTGAAATTGTTACTTGGAAGTTAGAACTACTTACTACTCCTGGTATCGCCACACGTTTTCTTCTTTTAGTTCTTTCTTTTGCATTCTGCTGTATTTGTATACGATTTTGTATGTAATGTAAGTATAATCACTTTTGCTGTTATGGATCATTATACTACTCTCTGTTCTTGTTATAATGGGAATACAATTTTGCCGGCTAAATTACACATTTGGTCACTCAAATTACATAAATCTTTCACTTTTGTCACTAGAATTACTTTCCTTTCATATTCATCACTAACTTTACTAATCGTTTCACCGTAGTCACCGACTGTTAGTCTCCGTTAACTCCGTCAATTTTTTGATGACGTGACAAACGGAATTGCTGACTGGACCGTTAACTTTATGACATGTCAATTAAAAAATTAAAAAATTAAAAAAATAGGCAAAGCAAGGAAAAGTGGGCCCACCATATTAAAACACCCAATGAAAGAATGACATGTCAGTTCTTTGCCACCGCCTCGCTCCGCCAACCCTTCGAAGACCTTCCCAAAGCTTCCAGACCGGACTGCCTCGTCGCCGACATATTCCTCCTCTAGTCCACTGATTCTGCGGGCAAATTCAGAATCCCCATACTAGTCTTCCACGAGCCTTACAAAAGGTTCTCCAAGAATTCAGAACCGTTCCTAATCCCAAACCTCCTCGAAGAAATTTTGATGATCTGGAAGCAGCTGCCGCCTGCCGGAGTACGCGAGGTAGGATGGGGAATCGGGGCTCGGGAAATTGATGAAATCGGTAAGGGAGTCGAAACTAAAATGCTACGGCGTGATCGCCAACAACTTCTACGAGTTTGAGCGGGATTATGTCGTACTGCAGAGCCTCTCTCGGGAGACGAGCTTGGCACATTGGTCCCCTATCTCTTTGCAACAACAACAGGTAAAAGGAATCAGAAAGGGGGAAAGAAGCTATAAAGTGCCTGAAATGGCTCGCTTGTAAAGGAATCAGGTCGGTCATTTACATTTGATTTGGGAGCATGTCGACGTTCAGGGCAGAGGAACTAAGGGAGATTGAGATCTAATTGGAAGCTTCGGGAGGGACGAGAGCGACGAGGAAGAATGGTTGCCGCAAGAATTTGAGACGAGATTGTGAGGGAAAGGGATGGCGACGTGGCCAATGTTCATCAAGAAGCTTCTGACGGAGGTGGCGGTAGGGGCGAAGGAGTGGGTGAGGCTGCTAGGGCGGTGAAGAAGGGGATGCTCTGGGGATGGCGGCGGGGAGGCAGGGGGATGAGGAATGATTTTTTTTTAATGTTTACTTTTTATTTCATTGGCTGTTTTTAATATGGCGGGCCCACTCATCTCCTTGCTTTTTGTCTATTTTTTTAATTTTTAATTGACGTATCATTAAGTTAACGGTCTAGTCAGCAATTTCGTTTGCCACGTCATCAAAAAACTAACGGAGTTAACGGAGACTAACGGTCGGTGACTACGGTGAAACGATTCGTAAAGTTAGTGGTGAATATGATAGGAAAGTAATTCAAGTAGCAAACGTGAAATATTTATGTAATTCGAGTGACCAAACGTGTAATTTAGCCCAATTTTGCTATTGTGTACACCGTACAATTTGCGAGAACGTTCTCACGAGGGATAATTGAGGACAGGGCAGGAATTTTTGGCGGCTCGTGTGGTATTCTCGTTCTCGGTGCGAAGGGTGAGAATGTTTGTCATACACATGACCCAGTGAAATGTTATCGTCACACATAAGGTTTCAGAAAAAGATCAATGCATCTAAGTCGTTGGAGCACTCGAGACTAACTAGCTTTCTTATAAAGTCTGAGATAGTTGTTATCGCTCTTTTATCCTAAGATAAAAATAAAAATAAATCATTGAGAGAAAATAAATGCAGAAAGAGCATGATCGTCAAATCGCCTGTTGGACGCTTCGCGGTTCTTGGATGGAAGGGGAGATAATTTTGTAAATAAATTCTCATCACTTTCATCCAACGATCATGACGCACCCAACTCGCGATTCGACAGTTGAACGCTTTGCAAGTACCATAGCCCGATTGCGTTGAATGTTACATACGGTATCCACAATCGATAAAATAAGAAGCTAAATAGCACACGAAAATATGTATTTTACCGGTCCAGGGACAAGGAGAATTTTTTTTAACTTGTTGTTTTAGTAGACAACACATAATAGAGAGTGCCAGAAAGTCAATCTATAGAACCATTATGTTAACTATAAACGAAATAAGTCAGAATGAACCCAAAACCAAATATTGTTCGACAAAGTTTAATTCCCATTTAGTTTTGATGCTTCATCAGTGCATGTCTCGATTCATAGACCGTCGAACAACGATACTCAATATTACGCGAATTGTACGACTTATAGTAACAAATCCACACCATTCCAACATTCACACTTTTAGACAACAAATTAATTCGTTTCCACCATGCTAGCTTCACTTTACCAAGAAAGAAACCTTCGAACCTGTGCTGAAAGGGAAAGAAAATACTTGGTATAGTAGAACATTGCACCAATGAAACATTTACCTTTTGGGTTTGTGTTGAGGGAAAGGGGCGGCATATATGTGTGTCGGAATCGACATGTTTCCCCCAATAAGACTGAATATGTTTCTTTTTTGGGTTATGATTGAATCGCTTGGCACGTCCTTAGAACATCTGTCGGACGGAGCATACGGCGTAGTTAGTTTGGTACTCATGTATGGTTGAACCTGCAAAAGCCGTTGATGGTGGCTGGCCAGTAGATGTGGCAATTGTATCAGATTCGTGGATTGGATTGGTGGATTTATGGATCAAATGGATTAGATCCAATGGATTGGTGGATTCATGGATTGGATCAAATGGATTGGTGGATTGATCCATGAATCCAAATGACATCAAAGGCTTGGACCAAAATGTAAAATTTGAAAAGTTTTGGTACTAAAATGTCATAATAAAAAATTTTAGGTACCAAAATGTAATTTTTCAATGATATTTTTCGTATAAAAATATAAATTTTAGGTACCGAAATGTAAAATATAAAAAATATAGGTTCCAAATCATAATTTGCCATTTGGATAAAATGAATTGAATTTAAATGGATTGAATTAAGTGGATAATTTGATGGATGGATTGAATTGGATTCATGGATTTGGATCCTAATTGCCACCTCTACTGACCAGGGAGAAGAAGAATCATATAATGGCTCTCTTTTCGTACTTGTGTTTGGGCTTTGCTGCTCTGTAGCTACTCAGCTGACAAGTCTCAGGTGCAATGGTTGGCCTTCTGGGTTAGAAACAGGGCCCAACCTAAAGTCTCAGCTCCATTGGTTGGGCTTTGCTTGCTATTGAAGAATCCGCCTCCTTCCACGATGACAGGACTCCCTCTTATCTTCATCCACATGATTTTCCAACTCAGACCATTATTTGAAATAATTCATCAAATTCCTTTCGATCCAATAAAAAATCGAATAAATTCAAAAAGAAACGATAACTGACAAGTTTTTATTATTATTTCAATTGAATTTCGTTTATAGTATAATAGATTAATTTTATGTAAATTTATGACAAATAATGAGTTGTAGGGTAGTGTCATCCTTAAATCACATATACGTGATGTGTTCAATCCTTAGTATCATACACGGGTACATTCACCCCTGCTGGCATACTTACCACCGGTACCACTGTCCATTGATAATTCCTAAACTTGTTGCCTCAGCATATAGGGGTGGAAAACGGGACGGGAACGGATAAAACAGGTATCAATTTCCATTTAGAGAGGATAATCCATCCCATTTCTCAAACCCGTACGTATAAACGAGTACTCATTATTCGTATGAGACGGATAACGAGTACTCAAACTACTCGCATATACCCGTCGAGAAGTAACAAAATGAGATAATGCTGCCGCAATAACATATCCGCCACCTGCAGGCTGCAGCAAGAAATGTTGCAGCCACCATGAAAATATGCCCACCATCATTTTGAAAGTGTACTGTGAATCCTACATATTCTCATTGATCATTAGTGATATATATATAGGAGTGTTAAAACAGAGTTTGCTATTCCTACGTACACCAGCAACTACCTACTAGAAGTAAGGAACAGAAACAACAAAGTGAAAGAGCTGTTGGGTTACTCCGAGAATGGATCTCCCTTATCACGCCCTGCAAGTGGAACTTCGGAGAGGTGAAAATTGGAACAGAAATTCCGAAAGGGTAACCGGGAGAGAGGCTTTGTAAGAACATCAGCTAGTTGGTCTGTAGCAGGTAGATAGCGGACATGTAGTTGCTGTTTGTTTACTCGATCACGAACAAAGTGGAATTCTATCTCCAGATGCTTGGACCGGGTGTGAAAAACTGGGTTGTGAGCGAGATAAGTGGCTCCTAAATTATCACACCAGAGAACCGGAGATGTATGAGTAGGCTGCCCAATCTCGGCTAGGAGAGATTGTAACCAGATTACTTCTGAAGCCAATGTCGCAAGAGCTCGGTATTCACACTCAGTAGCGACCGCGCAACTGCCTTTTGCTTGCGAGTTGACCATGAAACCAAATTCGAACCATAGAAAACAGCATAACCAGATATTGACTTCCTATCTCGAGGTGAAGAGGCAAACGAGGCATCAGAATAGCCGTGCAGCTGAGGACGAGCAGAACGCTGAAAAACCAAACCTTGTGTCAGGGTCCCCTGTAAGTAGCGCATAATACGTTTGACGGCTGCCCAGTGCGCTTCAGTCGGAGATTGTTGAAACTGGGACACATGATTAATTGCAAAAGAAAGATCAGGCCGTGTGAAGCTTAAGTATTGGAGGCCGCCAACAATGCTCCTGTAGAGGCCCGGATCAGCAAAAGCAGGTGATAGATCAGAGGCACTTTGCAAGAGTTGATCCGCTGTACAGGGGGTGGTAATGGCCTTGGCTGTGGACATTCCAGAACGCTTGAGAAGCTCAAGAATATATTTCCGCTGATTGAGAATCAGACCATCTACTGTATGGTGTACTTCGAGACCAAGAAAATATGACAATTGTCCCAAATCTCGCAAGGCAAACTTCGAACGGAGGAAAACCATGAGCTGCTTGATAAGAGCTGCATTTGTACCTGTAAGAACTAGATCATCCACATATACCAACGTGTAAATGTGATCAGAACCCCTGTCGTAGATAAATAAGGACGGGTCCGTCTTTGACGCAGAGAAACCAAATTCACAGAGAGCCTCGG